CTGAAGTGGCTTTGAGTGACACTGTTACAGCTTCAGTCATAATGAAAATACTTTACATGGAGTTATAAGGCATACCTCTAAATCAGAGTCAACTTGGAAACACCGTGCTGACCCTGCTCACAATGTATAAGCAATAAACTGCTCAAGAGAAACTACAGGAAACTGGCAGACTTTCCACATGTAAATCAAATTCTTTAGCATGTAATGTCCAATTTAGGTTTAAGCAAGTCATTTTTTGAATAAGTGATAAGAGAATATAATTTCTGTAAGATAATGTACCTCTCTATGCTTTTGTAATGGTTCAGATGATGCTTGATGGTCAAGTTTAATTAACTGAAATAATTCAAGAACTGTTTAATTTATTATGAAGACACAATTCAGCACGGATAAAACAACCTGCTTGAACAGTGAGATAGATTTTCTAATAGGTAAATTCAGTCATTCAGAGTGGTTTGATGTAAAATGCTTAGTTCCAGAGAAACCTCTATTCAGAACTGTTCTCAGTGGTGGTGATAACCTGTATATCTGCCCCATATCTCTACAATTATGAACAGCAGTTGCTTAGCATAAAATAGATAAATATACCCACATTTTCTGTGTCCCTTTTGAATGTCATCACCATAGCTAAAAAGCTAGACATTACACTACTTGGTTGCATAAACACATAATGTTGCTTTCACCTGTGAGAAATACAACATCCCACTCAGTTCAACTGTTTGAATTGCTTTCCTGAACTGAACAACTGAACTGATCAATGCAAGAGTGTGCAGACTTAATAATCAGGTTGAAAATACTACATCTGCATCCAAAACCAAATGCTGCTATACTGTGCATACTGTACTGATGAATTTACTACTAATGTTGGTACCATGTTAGAATGTGGTTTTGGATGCAGCCTGTAACAAGCAACCCACGAGATATGCAGCCCTAGTCTCCCCCACAGGGAGAGTTTGTCTGCTGGTTAAAAACATGTTTAGCATTAATAACTGGTTGATTCCACAGTTTTGGTGTCATGTAGCCTTGTAAATCAGCCCTTCTCGCTACCCACTGCGCCACCGTGCCGCCAGAATGATACTTTTATTTTTTAATTTGATCTGTCTCATTTTCTTATATGATTTTAAATTACTCATCATTTATTGTATTACTGTTAAGCTTTATCACCTGTCTGTAAAGCACTTTGAGCTGTCACTGGCGTGAATAGTGCTATATAAGTAACAATTATTACTATTATTATTATTATTACTTGTCCTCTGACTTCTCTTTACAGCCAGTATAAAAATGGCTTGTAAAAGAGATTGGAAAAAATAACTACATGTGAGTCCCAACTGTCATGGGTGACTCATCTGTATGACGACATGTACGTGTCACTGAATCTAAAAATAGATGAAGGCAAATGTATGCCAGGCTGCCAGCGAGTGTACAGCAGGACAAAGGGAGTGCACTAATAAAAAGCTTAGTGTTCTGTTGGAACCATGTGTGATAACACTTTCAATCAGAATTGAAAGCTCTGTAATCTCTCATTTCCTCCTCTGAATGTCTGAGTTTAAGAAACATACCAAATTTGTACTCTTTCCTCTAACTGCAGGAGTGAGGTAGAGGAGTGTGATGATGAAGATGCACAAGAGAAAGACAGATTCATGTTTTCTGTGACAACGAACGTCACAGTTACAGGTTCCATTGTCAGTTTTTTCCTTTAGCAGTTAGAACCAAAGAGTATTATTTAAAGGGGAATTCCTGTTATTTTAAAAATTCAATCGTTGAGATGTGAACAAAGTCATCCACAATGGTTTGATTTGAAATGGTGTGTTGTGGAGAAACTTTCTGACTACTTACAGTGGTGATAGTAGGAACCAGGGGTCACAATGTCACAAATACAGCCTTTTTATTTGCTGTCAAATACGGCCAGTTAGCCTCATGGTGTCTTCTGAACTTTTATATGTTGTGTTGGTAATGATAAAAAACACACACACACATTATCTAAGTTGCTTATCCTTTTGGGTCACAGGGAGTAATGATAAAATAGTGAAAGTGAAAACTGAAAAATAAGTTTTTTTGGGAACTGTTATGCCTCAGAACATCTTGTCGGTACTTTTACATCATGAACTAATTTTAAAAATACATTTTTTAGGCCAAAACCTCATAAAACCCATTACAAATCACAAAACAGTGTTTCAGGCATCAAGCAACACATTTACAACCATTTCAACTTCCCATGAGGGGAGGCATTAAACTCTTCAGACATCTGGTTCTTATCACTCTCACTGTAAACAGTTCTGACTCTGTAAGTTTCTCTAGAACAGCACATTTCACACCAAACCACTCTGAATGATTTTGTCTATGTCTTTACCGTCAAAATAATGCAGAAATTTTGGAAAGTAAGTTGAATTCCCCTGTAATATATTTTTAAAGATGGGATGGTGGAGAATAGAAGGGCAAAAGAGTTTTTTTTTCAGCTGGAGATCTGGGTCCTACACTGACTAATTCTTCTTCTGTTGTCTGTTTTTGCCACTGAGAGGTCAGTGTTTTACCTTAATCTCAGAATTAAATGAGAGTTCTAATCCTTCCATTTAGTCACAGATATCTGGCAAGAATGTGTAATAAGAGTGTAGATATGCCCAAGTAGAGCACCTTCTTCCACTCCACAAAAACCAAAGCGTAGAGTCACTACAGACGATACAAGATAGCTCTTACTTTAAGAGCACACACTTTTAGAAAAAAAGGTATAAAACTGTTACTGGGGCAGTACCCCTCTTGTCACTGGGGTGGTACCCTCAAGGGTACATCTCAGTACCTTTAGTCAGGGAACATAATCGTACCATAATCCACTGAAATTATATTTTCTAAGTATTGACTACACACACCCCGTCTCATCTCCAGGCTTTATATTTTATTGTTCTGTTTTAAAACATCAGGTTATGAAAAGGCAAAATATGTACTTTTCACCTGGCAAAAACTTATTTAAGGTTCACAATTAGAGCTTAAAATCACTGATGTACCTTTGAGGGTACATTTACATTGTACCTCAATGAACGATACACAATACAAAATTATGTATTTGTGCATGTTACATTTTGACATTTTTATTAATACAGATACTTTTGTAATTTGTAGAAAAATACTTTTAGAATACTTACACATCAGTGCTTGTTTTAACTGTTGTTTGTAATTATTTTTGAATCAGCAAACATTCATTAGACAGACACTAAAAAGGAACCCAACTAATGGCTTCTTTGCAAAGTTCCTGCTATCGCCTGAGTAGACTGATAAAACAATGGGTGGTTCTTCTGGTGCATTTATCTCAGTGTCCCATTTTTTTTTAAGTTAATGAGACAGGCAGTTTTCTTGCTCGGTGGACTGTGGGAGCAGCAGTGGAATGAAGCAGGCAATGAGATCCCCCCAAAAATGTGAGAATTTCAAAACTTCATTCAAATGAAAAGCTAATTTTTCATTAAATATTAACAGTAGAATTACGTGCAGAAAACTGCCTACCATCCTGCTGAAAAAATCATATTAACCATTAACAGTTTCGGCTGGTTCCTGATGGTGTCCAGTAGTCAGTAATCATATTGTTCATTTTCCTTATGTAGGATATGTGCAGAGGTGTAGAGGATTCTGATGGTTTAATATATTCCAGATGCATTTAATGGCTTACTAATGGGATCTAAAGGTGTCCTACAGGAAACAAGTGGTCTCCAGTGGTAACAAGCCAGTTCCCTTTAGAAAGTAAAACCATCAGATCTTAATCCTTAATCCTGGTTCTAATGGTCTTTTTTCAGCAGGGCAGCAGGAGTGATAAACAGTGTGAAGAAAGTGAAAACTACAGAGTTTCCTCATGTTCCTTATCAAAACATAATCTGTATGTATTCTGAATGTGTTACCTTTTTATGCATTGTAACAGAATACACTGAATGCAAATAGTACAGTGTAGTCATTTTTTACCCACAAATACTTTTTCAAAGTATTCTGCTCAACTCTGTATGAAAGATGTTATGAATGAGCCAAGTATCTGGCTGTGTGTGTCTACACTGTTCTTGTTTGTAGGAGTCAGATCAGAATCAGACTCAAAATCACTTTATTAGTATGTTACACATACAAGGAATTTGTCTTCATGAGTGCACACATGTCTGACATGTAACATACTGAACAGACAAGACAAGCACACAGACTATTAACAAGTACTGAGCTTAGGAAAAGGAAAAATAAAATACAATAAATAGAAAATAGAATAAGGAATAATAATAATTTAAAAAAACAGCCAGTGTGAAAGGATATCAGGAGATACATATGAGATGTGTGGATATCTGTATGTATGATGTGTGTGGACATCTGTATGTATGAGGTGTGTGGATATCTATACATATGAGATGTGTGGACATCTGTACATATGAGGTGTGTGGATATCTGTACATATGAGGTGTGTGGACATCTGTACATATGAGGTGTGTGGATATCTGTACATATGAGGTGTGTGGATATCTGTACATATGAGATGTGTGGATATCTGTACATATGAGGTGTGTGGACATCTGTACATATGAGGTGTGTGGATATCTGTACATATGAGATGTGTGGATATCTGTACATATGAGATGTGTGGATATCTGTACATATGAGGTGTGTGGATATCTGTCAAGCAGACATGTACCATAAAATATACTATAAAACTATTCTACTATAATGAAACCTCTCATTTTTTGTCTTTTTACGTTTAACATTTGATTTAAATCTATATCCTTCATTTAGCGACCCTTAGTGAATGAATCTCCGGAATGATAGATAAATGCACTGTGGTAGGTTTAATATGCCCACTGTAACCTCTTGTAGGTCATGTGCTTCAGTACCGTGGAGAGCGAATATGTGGGCCGTGAACTGTTGCCACGCAGGAGGAGGGAGAGAGGGGGTGTGAGAGAAAAGGTGGAGTGGAGGGGCTGGCTGGGGTGGGGGGAGAGTGGAGGGGCCTGGCTGAGTGGAGGGCTGGCGGGGAGTGGAGGAATGAACTATCGCGATTACTCAGAGGCCTGCTGGCTGCTGGGATTTGTTCAGCATCATCTCTCGCTTGTCCCGGGCGGGTGGTCGTGTAGGAGGATCACGGCGTGATTATATTACTCTCAAATCTACGATCAGGTGCAACAAAACCGCAGGATCTGACGGGGAGCTCTCCGCCTTGAATGCAAAACCCGCCTTGGATGGAAAGTAGTTTTCCTTTTTGCTCATCCGCGGGAGCGTTTTCACAGGAGCCACGTTCTCGGGTAGCCAAACGGCGAGGTAAGGGGGTTTTTGAGCCGACGCTGGGCTTTAACTGAACCATCACCGACCCAAACAAGCGGTCTGGTCTGTTTTAACGGAGTGTACAGTCAGATTGGAGCATCATTATGGGAGAATTCACGGGGTGGGAGACGGTACAGCGTTCAGCATCGCATTCCCTCCTGAAGGGCGCTCTCCTCGACCTCCACATCACTCTCTAAACTCAGTGAGATGCATGCTCGTGTTTGAATACCCTGCTCTAGCCTGTTTTATACGGTACTCCCTGGAGAAGAAGAGCGATATATCAGTCCATTCCGCCAGACGCAGCAGCGGCTAAAACATCAGCACATAAACACCGCGGATTTATGTGTTAACGGCTCCCGCCTGAGCCATGGCGCCATGCCCTTCACTACTAGACCATCTCTGTGCTCCTACTGCAGTGATTTAACAGTAAATCGAGCCAGTGCGAGATAGATAGCTAACATGCAGTTTGTTAGGGGTGGTGAGAGATGGAAATCTGTTTTTTCCGTTTCCCTTTCCCTTTTTTCTCCCCAACCCTGTCCTCCCTCAGCCACAGGCTCTGACAGGAGTAGACATGAGCAAACGTGAGACGCCTCAGACTTAATTTTTCTTCGACAAGGCCGCCAAAAGCCTGCGAGCCTAGGTGGCTAAAATAGCGTAAAAGCTTGCTTTAATGATATTATGGCATAATTCAGTGCCGTTATAGCCGCTACTGTATATTAAATCATGTAGCTAGGAGGCTGCCACTAGGGGCGCTCTTCCATTGGGCCTTTACGAACTCCTCCTAAAGGAAATGGAAACAGCCGCTTCAGCAGCTCTTCTTCAGTTCACACAAGCTGCGTCCAAAACCACACACTCCTGTACTACACACACACACGACACTGAAGAGTGGGCCACTACGGGTCATGTACTATTTTTAACATACTATTTAGTGTGATAGTCTGCGGTTTTGGACGCAGCCATGCTCTTCACTCAGTGGACATGAGTTTATGAGCAGAGCCAGTTTAAGGGGAGCCTGGTTCCAGTTCACCCTGTTATACCTGACATATGACGGAAAAACGCTAGAGGGCGCCCGCGAGCGAGTCCTCAATAAACAGGAAGTGAATAGAGCTAAACGGCTAAAAACGTTAAACATATTTCAAGGCTTTCATGCAGACATTTTTAATTTTAACAAGTTGTAGAATGTATTACACAAACAAATGAAATGGAAAATTAACATATTTCTGTTTACACAAAACCTGCTGAGTGGTTAGCACGCTTATAATGAATGTACTTAGAGTCCTGTAAACAGAATTGAAAAGCATTCAGAAATACAACATAAATGTTGAAATGTTTTATAAACGAGTGCAATTGTCTATATAAAGACAGTAACCATTTACAGATTACAGGTATGAACAAGGCTCCCTATGTCCCCATTCATTTTTGACTCTCTCAGGAGCGCCCTCTGGTGTCTGACCAACCCGGAAGACGTTACTGAGTGGCAGTTCTCCTCACTAGGACTCTCCTGCAATGGCATGACTTCTTTACTGTTTTGGGCTTTGTTTCAGTTCAGTGTGTGTTCAATGAAACATCTTTCATTTAGGGTGCTGAATATTGCTGTCTGAGATCAGGGGTTTAAGAAAAAAGGATCTTAATGGCAGGTAAGAGTTGATTTTTTTTTCCATAAAATTGTTAGTAGAATTGCAGATGTTACCTATTTTGCCCTTTTCTGCTCTTATTCTAATTCTTTGGTTAAATAATGATTTTTGTCAGTATAATAATTAAGATTTTATAAAAAGATGAGTAATGGCTTTGCTGACTGCTGTACACTTTATTCTTTTTTTTTGACTCACAGAAAACAATTTCCCTCCTCTTCCCCGTTTCATCCCTCTGAAGCCATGCTTTTACCAAGACTTCAACGAGATCCCAGACCAGCGGCGCACCATGTGCAAGCGGTTGTACTATCTCTGGATCTGTAAGTATGCAGAACATTTAGCTTCTGACTTGTGTTTCCTTAATGCCATTTGGTGTATTTTTTCCTTTTTCTGTGTATTCGTGAGTCAGCCATGCAGGCTACCACTGTTTGCTCTAATAACGTCAGCTATGTTGTCACTCAAAACACTGCGGCAGCCCAAACACACCAAAGAAGAAGCTGAAGTAATGCATACAACTTGTTTGAAAGGACTTTGTTGGTCTTTGTTATCAAACATAGCCATTTTCTTGTTGCCTGAAAAGCCAGTAAGATTTTGCACCATTTGGGAGCATCATGAGCTTAAAATCCACAGGTTGAGGTTTTTATGTTTTAGTAGATTGTCTGTATTCAGCTAATACTAGGGGGGCTGCATAACTGTATATCCACTGATTCCACAATGTAAATCTGTAAATTGTACTGCCTTTTTTATCAGCACACAGATTGGATTTTTTTTTAACCAGCTGCTAAGTTTACAGTAAGTGATACACTATAGAAGTGGTAGTATTATATGGTAGTAATTAGTCTATTTAGGCCTTTTTAGATGTAGTGTGAGAGAGAGAGATAGAGATAGAGATAGATATAGATATAGATATAGATATACAACTGTCTAAGTGTTGGTCCCATCATTAGGAGATTGTGAGTTTGAACCCCAGTGATGCTATAGGCATCCGTGGCTGGGAGTCCAATGGAGCATGATTGGCCTCATTCTCTCTGGGTGTGTAGGATGGCCGTCCATCTCCCCCTATCACTTAGTGCAGTGCTAGCTGATGTAATAGAGTCAGCAGTTAGTGTTCCAATGATACTGCGTTACTGGCAGTTCATGGTGAGGTGGCTTGCTTCACATGTCTCAGACGCCCTTCTAGCACTGGTGGTATCCTAACTAATAGGTGAAATCGAATACACCTAAATTGCAGAGAAAATTGGAAAAAATGTAAAATAAATAAACAAACAAACAAACATACCACCCACTCCAGTACATATGAATACCGAATACAGAAACTAAGCTGCAAACATGAGCCATTTTGAATTCACTGATTTTGTGATATCATGAGCGCCAGAGCAATTATATAAATCTGCCTACTTGGCCTACTACAGTTTAGTTCCGCCCACTCACGCTCAAGTTATAAGAAATGATTTTGAATGGAGCGCAGTACAGGGCAGCCAATCAGAACACACCCATTTACATGTATCAGTCTTAAAGGTGACAGTAACAATAACAGCCTATTTAATTCTAACTAAGGGATAAGTTGTGTGAAAAAAATTAAGATTGTTTTTGGTACATAAATCTACACAAACTGCTTAAGTGGACCTTAGAGACAAAAAAAAATACAGGAAAAATGTAGGATATGGGCTCTTCTACTGTGACATTCAGTTGTGTGTTTCCTTTTATTGTATGCTATTTATAGTGCGTTTGCTGTTAACCTTGAAAGCCCAGGAGTAGTTCTCTCTCACTTAAGTACTATATAAAACCTTTTTTTAGGTATAATCCTTTTTATTTAATGTTGGTTAGAGGTTAGAGCTTCTTTGTGAGACAAGCTTGTGATTTAATTAATTTGTAAAATGATCCAGTTCAAGACTGAGCTTCATAGTTTGAGTATTTTTTTTTCTTTGCTTCATGAAGTTTAGTTTTTAACTCGTTCTCTTACCCAGTGAACAGTGCTACACTGGCGGTGAACCTGATTGGTTGTCTGGCATGGATGTGCGGTGGAGGCGGGGCAACTAACTTTGGAATGGCCATCCTGTGGCTGATTCTGTTCACTCCTTGCTCCTATGTATGCTGGTTCAGGCCCATCTACAAAGCCTTGAAGTGAGTTGCCTTGCAAATTGTACATAATTTGTAGATGACAAACCTAACTCGATTTTATTAGCTCTGGTAATCCTTTGTATTTTGTATAACTTGCCACTAAACTGTTTACTGGCATAGTTAATTTGTCTGGAATAATTTATGCAGAATGTTGAATTATACACTCCACCAACAAACATTTTAAATGTACACATAAATTCCAAAGCATTAAATAAAGACACGTAGGGTGGATAATATGGCAAAATATAATACCACAATGCTTGATGATAATTTTCGCGACATGCAATATGTATCACAATATTTCTTTTTTCTGTGATTTGGTGAATTGGAACAGACAGAATGCATCAGTAGTACCACCTTAGAAAAATACTGCCAAAATTTATGAATACAATGATTATTATTTAAAGTTCCACATGCTGAGCCACACTGAATCCAATAAATAGGACAAATTATGTTCTGTTTGTAATGAAACATGCAGTTGGCCAGTGTTCTTTTAGTACTATCAGTATCCACAGTATGCAGAGGAAAGCAGATTATGATATAATTTATCACAATAATGATAAGATATTGTAATTTTGCCAACCCCTACTGGACACAAAATACAACAGCTGGACACTGAGGCGAATCCCTGTCAGTCAGGCTTTTTCTTTCAACGTTTGTGCAAAAATTAGTTTCCACGTCCACTGTTTCACAGAGAGACTGAAATAGATATAGATTGAGAAGCAAATCTCATCATGACAATTGAAACATAAACTATGTTGACTCTATTTAATATTGATATTATGAGCTCTTACACTTTCTCTCTTTTGCAGGACTGATAGCTCGTTCAACTTCATGGCGTTTTTCTTTGTATTCATGGCCCAGGTTGTGATCAGTATTATCCAGACAGTGGGCATCCCAGGCTGGGGAGTGTGGTAAGGACATTAGATGTGGGCTTTCTAGAGATATGAAGATTATTGGGTTTGAGCTCAGACGTCGTATGTAGTAGTGGTGTAAATCATCTGTGTTCATCTGAGACAGAGTGAGAATCAGTAATAGGTACTAAAATAGGTACTAAAATATTTTAGTGAAGAAACATGAATATTTATTAGCATTGCAAATTATGAGGTTGTTTTTTATATCTCATTTTTTTATATCTCATTTTTTATATCTCATATCTTAAAGGGGGGTTTCATCAATTTTTCAAAATTTCTGCATAATTCAATAGTTGAAACCAGAGTCATTCAGAGTGGCTTGATGTGAAATGGTTCATTGTACACTTTATTCTTTTTTTTTTTTGACTCACAGAAAACAATTTCCCAAAACTTGCCAACTCAGATTTCTTAACAGTAGTGGTGATAGGAATCAGGGGTCACAAAATCTACAGCACAAATATAGCTATTTTATTTACTATCCAAAACAATCAGTAGACCTATACGTGTCTTTTTGTACATCATTGATCTCCAAAATGGTAAATTTACAGAGGCAAAACATATATTTTTTTGGGATAGTATAATAATATGTAAAGTTGATAATGGTAAAACAGTTGGGGAGAGTGTTGCCTTATGTTATACGTTTTAGGCCAATTCTGTGGTAAAACAATGTCTCGGTCATCAGGCAATGTATTTATAACCATGTCATATAATAACTTTCTATTATGTGGCTTTTAGAGGCATTAAACTCTTCAGACGTCTGGTTCCTATCACCACCTCTGTGACTGACTGAATAAATATCTATAGAACAGAACATTTCACACCAAACCACCTTTTTAAAATTTTATTTTAACCGTTTAATTATGGAAAATTCTCCTTTAACACTGGTTTAAGAGGCAAAAGGTTGACCTGACAGCAGTTCTATCTGAATGAGTATCATGTAAGAGTTGTTTTGTTATGTAATATGTAATGTCAGTAAACTCCCACACTCACTGTTTCTAATACAGTGCTGCATAAATCATGTTCAGTTGATCTGAGCATTAAACTGCAGTCGTGCCATTCACATCAGTCAGAATGCACTTTAAAGGCAGGAAACAAGTATGTTTTTATTCACCCAATTTTGTTTGATTTCTTTGTATTTTTTGTCGTTTTGAAAAGCGTGCAAATCCATTAAACAAGTACCAAAATTTGTTTGTTACTCTGTATATAATTTTGCAGTTTTGCAGGCAAAAGGAGAGAAGTTGCAGAAAAGAATCTCAGTGTGAGGAATATTGTCTCTATGAATAATCTGTTTCGCCATGCCTTCTCTCTTCTCTGTTGCAGTGGCTGGCTGGCCACTATCACGTTCTTCAGCACTAATATCGGGTCTGCTGTGGTCATGCTGATTCCTACTATCATGTTCACAGCTGTGGCTGTGCTCTCCTTCATTGCCCTCACCAAGGTGCCTCATTCACTTTTAATACAGAAAACCAAATGCATTGCTTTCCTCTGTCTTCGTCATTTTGCTAATTTATAGAGAACATTAGTGCATATCATTTTAATAAAACAGTAACGTTTATTTTTGAAGTAAATTTACTGTCAACACGTTTTTCATTTTCATTTCATTTCTAAAAGTATTAATCTTTCTATGTGTGACGCAGGTCCATAACTTCTACCGTGGAAGTGGAGGGAGCATGAGCAAGGCCCAGCAGGAGTGGACAACAGGTGCCTGGAAAAACCCCCATGTCCAGCAGGCAGCACAACAGGCAGCTATGGGTGCAGCCCAGGGGGCAATGCAGGGCCAGCAGTACTCTGCCGCCCCCACCTACAACTATGATGACCCCATGTAATAAGTTTTTAGTAAGAAATAGGCAGAAGGGAGTGTAACAGGGTAATGGGGGAGGGAGGGGATAATGAAAAGAAGGCTTCCAAAACATAGAAGGAGGAAAGCAAATAACTGACCAATTTAACTTTAAATATGTTTTCTCCAATACAATAAGACTTTTGCTTCAGCTCTTTTAAAAGTGTATGGTAGGTTTAAGTATTGTTTTTGGTCTTTTGACCGTATCAGTACTACATTACCACTCTGTATACTATTTTCTCACTACTTGTACTTTAAATATGTCTGGACTGGAGCTCCAGAGAATAACAAAGCATTGTATCGCACTGTGTTTCTATAGTAACTAGATTCCTGGACTAGCATGTCCCTGAAGAGCCAGCAGTAACTCTCTATTTCTGTTGGCAATTTGATGTTTAAGCAGACAATTTATGACTGCTTGGCAAAATCATCTCACTGTTTTCCAAGTCAATATATGTCTTCTGCAAAAGATTAGCAAACACTAGAAGTAATACATAAACCTTAAGTGGAATAACTAGTCATAAATTAAACACATTGCATTTTAATTTTATTGAGCCATTAACTGGTCTTTGACCAGTATCGTAATGTGGCCTTACAAGAGGTCTTAACACTTTGGCTTGTTTTTTGCAATCAGTTCATTTCAGTTTGTTTGAATCAGATAGCCATACACTTGCACATCTACTGTTTAAATGATTTTGTTTTGTAATTGTGTCTTGGGTGCAGAAATGTACACTACTAGTGCATCACATTTTACAGATTTGTTGTTGTTGATATTGTTTTGTTACCTCAGGATTCAAATAGTTATTTTTTGCTTTTGTACTGTAGCATTGGTAAAAGGTCAGTCTGAAAGGAATGTCTGTTAAATATCAGTTAAGGACTGATTTTTCAAAAATGTTGCGCTAAATCGTCCTTGAGATTAATTGTTAGAGAAATTTGGGTGTTTCCTTAGAGGTTTCACCAACATCTATCTTTATTTCCAACTACAGTAGAAACAGTCAGGGATCCTCTCCAGAAATAATACAAAAAGAAGCTCAGCCCCCTTTAAATGTTCAAATGTTCAGAGAATCATCTGTACTGAGAATCACTGACTTGAGCCATGAGCTACTGCTCTGTTATTTACCATGTCAGTCTTAAATTGGTGCACTGCTGTCTTTACTATTACTGAAATTCTATCCAATGTTGTGTGCACTATTGGACTTAGTATTTAGTTGTGCATTTATCTGCATAAACATTTCCAACACTTTTAGTGAAGTGAACCCTTTTTATCGAGGAATAGCAGGAGTTAAATGCCTGCAAGCAAAGCACACTTGTCTTTGGGTTTAAAAAACATAGGACATGCTACATGAAGTCCTCTATCAGTAATGAATTCTGCCATTTCCTAACAGGATTAGGATTTTGCTGTAATATCACATCTGATTTTGTGTACATATTTTCTGTGATACAGTGATCAGTAATTGTTGTGTAAAATTCCCAAATGAATCTGAAGATTATGTAAACCCTTTGTCAACTGATAAGGTTGTGGTATTTTCAATACATGTAATGTGTAATTAAGACAGGACAGATTATTAATATAGAGTTATGTTTATAGAGAGGCTTGAATTGATCCATACTCTCTGAAAGGGTCGGTGTTAGATTTTAAGCAATTGTATTGAAAAGTCTTTATATACTCTCAATTTAAAATGAAACTGATACGAGTAACTAGGTTAAAATCACACTATACATGTACAGTATATGTAATATGTAATCAAACTGTCTTAATCAAAGCTTGTAAAATAGCACCTCATCTCAAGAACTGTGAAATGTTTTCATGTGCTCATGTATGAAGTGAATATTGATGTGTGTGTTGGACTTTTGGTATTTTTTTTTTAGGTCTTTATTTTTACATGTAAGTGAGCGAGAGAGGTTTAGTGTTCACTGTGTTATACCTGTTACACTGGAATGGTCATGGGGCTTGGTAAAGAGTATCATCAGGTTCAAAGCTTTGGCATGGTGTTGGTAGAAGTTTTTGTTGATTGGCCATGAAACTGGTACTAGATCAGCACAAAACAAAGGAAATTTAATCTCAGAGGGGTTTATCTCCTGCTGTTAGGGCTGGTTTCTTTGACATTCATTAAGTCTTGGACTAAATTGCAGTTGGAAATTCTTTTTGGTCCAGGTTTAAGCTTAATCTAGGTCTGGGGAACCAGCCAATAGTGTCCTGAAAGAAAATGAGAGCCCTCTAATGGACAGAAGGTTTCACAATTCCTGTATGGTACTCTGTCCAGATTAAAACAACTGATGAAATCTGTGATGAAGGGATCCTGACATCAAGTGCGAATGTTATATTTCAGTTTGCAGCAAAGCAAAGCCCACTGTCCATTGCCAAGACCCACTGCCCACCTCTGTACTATGATCCCAATGTATATATATATATATATATATATATATATATATATATATATATATCAACACTGTCAACAGTAGATGAAGCTTTGTTTATAGTGTAAAGTGAATGGAAAGATGACAATAGAACAAAACTGATAGTTGTCTGTGTGTGGTGTGTCGTGTGGTGCTTGGTAAACTTGTGCCATGTGTACATAGGTGCTGTGTGTGCGTGTATGTGTTAATGTTACTGCTGTCCAGCCCAAAATGGAATGTATTTGTTGACTGGAGAAGAGCTGCAGTCCATTTTAGGGTTTTCTTTCTTTATTTATTTATTCCTTTCTTTCTTTCTTTACGTTATTGTGATGGGTCAAACTTTCATTTCTTTCTGACATAAATGCTGATTTAGTCATGAGTTAGACATAAATACTTAGTTATCTTTAACATATTGTAGGGTAAATAACTCAATCAGCAATCAGTTAAGCGTGCTCTTTCAAGGCATTTAGAAGATTTTTTTCTAGCCCATTTTGTATTACTTTTTGTATTATTTTGTGTCTCCCTGATGGCTAGTAAACAGATATTGTTGCATTTTGTGTCAGACAGTAATTTCATCCTTTCAGGCTGCTGTGTGTCCTTTATAAATCACAAGTTTCCCCAGCAGAGGGCAGAAAAGAGGGGCACAGAATAAATAGGCTACTAATTCAAATCAAGACGCCCTGAATCGGAGGAGTTCTGTTCCCCTCAGAATAAACCTTTTAGATTATAGATGAGATGACAGCTTGATGTGTTTGAAGACTGGAGATCACAAATGATAAATGCTGCATTTTAATGTCAAACAGCTTTTTATGAGGTGAAGGTTTTCTGAGGTGAAATCAGTTATCCATGACAGAAACACTTCCATTGAGCTTTTATGAAACCTGTGTCCCCTTGTGGTCTTCATGCACTACGAGTAGACCCTGCTCAGTTTTCTTTAAATGGAAAATTAAAACAGAAGGCGTTGCAGCCTGAGGGCACTGAAACATCTTCTCCTTGCTTATCCTTTTGCTCTGTTCTGCTGTTTCATCCACAAGGTCAATCCAGGTAAAATGAAGTGGGACAGATAAAGCCCTACAGGTCCCTTTGAGAAAATATAGATGAGCGCATTCAACTTCTTTTCTTTTTCATTTGAAGGTCATTTTTTGTTACGCCTGATATGTAGCAGCACTCTAAGCCTAATTTATACATTCTGAACAGCCTAGAAAGTCAGATAGGGACTTTCTAAGATGTTTGGATGGGATGTCTGTAAAGGATGCTCAAAACCACACTCAAAATGACTTTTCGAGTCCTGTTTTCTTTGATCCTGATCTGGCCTGAATCAGGTGCATAGGAGCAGGATTGTAGGACTGTGGCCCTACAGAACTTGAAATGAACAGTGATGTAGTCAAAGGTAATAAGAAAAAAACACATCTATACACTTGAACAATTCACAGTGACAGTATGTGGCCAGTTTTCTTCATTGTAATTTCAGTGCTTTGGCTTTGGATGTTGTTTTAATAAACAGTGCTGTGCAAAAGTCCTGGGCAGCCAAGAAAATGGCTTGAGACTATTTATGTGGCCAGTAAATATGTTTATGCCGGTAAAAACATTATGATATTAGAGAAGCAACAAACATTAATACAAAGTAATGAATTTTGTTTTTTTACTTCTTGGTTAGAAGAAATATATAAAAGTTTCATTCCTGATGTCCTGCTGCTCTCCAATCACTGTGTGGATTTGGTAAATTCCACCAGCAGTGCCTGATTTAATTTAATGAAGGACTGATGAGCTGAAGCAGGTACTGGAGGGTAATTATAAATACTTGACTTCTGTCAGGAGATCTTTGAAAATGATTGAGCTAAAACACTGACACACAATAAATCGTACTGCACTGCTTATATGGATTTGTTCTAATGTTAGTATTTGAACAAATATGTTCTTTGTATATAAATACAGTCTTACAAAAGTTTAAACACCCGTGTCAAATGATGTTTTGATGAGTTTGAAGTTAAAATAAGAACACATCCTCTACAGAAAACAGGCTTCTGCACATTTTAGTGCACAGATTTTTATTTGCTGAGTTTAACATATTGAAAAAAATGTAATGTATAAAATGTTTAGAGTTTTTGCACTGCCCTCCCCCTGCCTAATATGTTAAATTCAGCAAATAAACAGTAAATGTGCAGAAGTGTGTTCGCCATAGGGCAGGGGTGCTCAGTTCTGGTTCTGGACAGACCTACCATTTTGAAAAGTTCTGTTCCAACACACTTGGCTCTCATGTTCAGACGCCCCTGAAAACCTTCATTACCTGGAACAGATTACGTTTGGAGCTAAACTCAGCAGGGTGGTAGAGCACCCCTGCTGTAGAGGACGTTTCAACTTATTTTCACTAGAAAAATCAGCAAAACATGTCATTTGACCAGCATCCAAACTTTTGCATATGTAACATTACACATAATTTTCTCAAATGGCTCTCTCTTTTCTGCAGTTCAGTATTTTTTATATTATTATTATTTTTATACTTCTTCTTAAGAATTAGCTGGTGAATTGGGGCTACTTATTTTAGGTAAAATGAAACCCAACAACCAGCCATTATAATAAGGGATGCCAACAGTGCTCTTCATTTATTGCTTCTCCACAGTTTATAAGCAATTTTGAGTTGTGAAAACCATTAGGAACGTCTCATGGTGAGCATTCAGCCTGATTTTAATAGCACATTGACTTCAAGAAATGACATAAATTGCCTATTAAAATACCACTGCTTATGTTTTTTTCATTCACATTTTAATGAACAGAAGACGAAAGTGTACAGGCAGAATCTGACTGCATGTTTATGACATACCAACAAGAGGAAGGTAAATAATCAAAGAGCTAGTAAACTATGCAGTGATCTGTGCATTGCACATGGAAGCATTATATGTATCAGCACTGTGCTGTGGCCTTGGGTCTTTCATAACTGAGCTTTTATTCTCCCATGTCACACCAGTGTTCACATAGAGAATGACAGAACCATGCCGTCGCGCAATTATATGGGAACTGTCAGTTTTCCACTGCAGGCCCACATGCTGAGTTATTATCACACATTTAGATGCACTCCTCCTTTACCAAACGAGAAATGTTCATCAGATTCATCTAAGAAGGTATGAATGCCTCTGCTCAACCCCTTAAACTGCAGGCTTCTTCAGTTATTGATTTAGTTTTCCAAAAAATGTCAAATACACTGTCTTTTGCTGCAAGGACTCAACTAACATGAATACAAACATGTAGGCCCACAAACAGGCCCTAAGGGTTTAGTTAGTTAAGGTTACACAAATAAATTAGGCATCACAGTACAGATTATCATTGCTGTCTATGTATCTCCATTTCTTTCTACATCATTTGAACACAGCAGCTGTCATTTAAATAATATATAAATTTTACAATGAATGTTCCTATAAAAATGCTCCAAAATTACTCGGAATAAAATCTCTTTATTTTAGCTTGCATTAAAAGTTAAGAGCATTTTTGCCTTCTCTTTGAAGTTACCATTTTGGAGATACATGTTATCTAGGGGTTTTATTTTTTTGGACAGCAACATTATGTTTTCTAGACCAGCTAACGCAGTGTGCCAGTCAGTCCATTATTGATAGCGTGCCGCATGAGTTCATGAAGAGAGGCATCTTCCCACATAATTACAGCAGCAGCATGAGCTGGAGTGGAGCGAATGGTTTCCTGTGACTCTTGTATCTCCCGTGCTTTTCATTAATGTGTTTTAATGGGATAATGTGCCCTGCTTCCATTGCAGCAGAGCTGGCGCATTCATGTCTCTCTGCCTGCACTGCAACACTGAATTGAATTAATTTGCCTTCCCCATTGAGGTGGCAAGCTCTGTGAAAGAGTGAGACGAAGAAGGGGGGATTTGAGTGAACGAGAGTGTGTGTTTGAAGTGTAGAGAAAGTGATATAGATTGTGTGTGTAATGTGACTGTGTGTGCAAGTGAGAGAGAGATAGAGTTTGTGTATGGGGGGTTTATGAGAGTGACTATTAGAAAAAGAGAATGCCCCCTATGACTGAGAGAAACAGTATGAGAGCAAAAGATATGAAATGAATGTTTAAGAGTGCAGAAGAGGAAAAACGAAAGAGCAGGGAGAGAAAGAGGGAGAGGACGAGGGAGAGAGAGAGAAGGAATGAAAAAGGGGGGAAGGCAGAGAGAGAGGAGAGAGAGAAAGAAAGACAGAGATAAAGCATGAGAGACAGGGAGAAAGAGAGGGAGAGAGAAAGAGACAGAGTATGGGGAGTGAATGAGTAAGAGAGAAAGAAAGTGGAGAGTGAAACAGGGGAAAGAGAGAAAGAGGGGAGAAAGAAAGAGAGAGAGAATGCGTGAGAGAGAGGAGAGAGAGGGAGAGGCAAAGAAGGAAAGAGAAGGGGAGGGAGAAAGAGAGAGCATGGGGAGTGAGTGAGAGGGAAAGAAAGTGGAGAGTGATAGAGAGAGAAAGAAGGGTGAAAGAATGAGAGAGAGGAAGGGAGAGAGAAAAAACAAGAGAGAGAGAGCATGGAAGAATGAGAAAGGGACAGAGAATATGGGAAAGGGTGATAGAGAGAACGAGAGTGGGAAGTGAGTGAAAAAGGAAAGCGAGGAAGAGAAAAAAGAAAGGAAGGGGAGAACAGAGAGATAGAGAGGTTAGACATAGAGGGAAGAAAAGAATGAGCGGAGAGTGAGAGTGAAAGAGCAATAAAGTATGTATGTGTGTGTGTGTGTGTGTGTGTGAGAGAGAGAGAGAGAGAGAGAGAGAATGAGTGGGGGGAGAGAGAGAGTGGGAAGTAAGTGAAAGAGGAGAGAAAAGGGAAGAAAGAAAGGGAGGGGGAGAAGAGGAAAGAGAGGGAGGCAGAGAGAGAGGGAGGGAGAGAGGGAGAAAGAGAGAGAGAGAGAGAGAGAGAGAGAGAGAGAGAAGCAGTGAACTAAAGCCTGCCTTCCTGGTTGGAGCTGTTTGAGCTCTAACTGCTGGAGATGAGAGATGCACTACACAGAGCGCAGAGCGCAGAGCACAGACGGAGCACAGCAGAAACCACACTCACTCTCAGCAGCCTCTTATGGACACCGGAGCTTAGACTTGGACAGTTAGGTTAATGCCAAAGCTGGAGCACTGCCACAGCAATGAAAAACTGCAAAGGATGGATGCTGGAAGGGATGTTTTAGAAAAGTGAAGCAGGCGCTGCTTGGAAATGAATGATGATGATTTTCTCTGAAAAGCTGTGATGTTTTGCAGAGCTCTTCTCTTCTCTCTTCCTCTTACGTGTCATATGGGACACACTCAGCCTCTCAGCCTCCCTCAGCCTCCCTCAGCCTCTCTCAGCCTCTTTCAGCCTCTCTGCTGGATTCTGTTTTGTGACTTCATCTCTTCGCTCTCAGTCTACTTGAAGAAGCATGACTGGATATGTAGCGGCTGAATTGCTCCGAGATGGGTTTTTCCGCTTCTGCTCATGGGAAAATGTAGTCACTGGTACAAGTCTGTGAGTACAAAGAGCATAAGATGCTGAATCAACCGTTACTTTTGGCGCTGCTCTGAGGTCGTCTCAGTCCAACTGAAACACCCCCAAACTCCTAGCAGCATTTTTCTTTTAAAAGGCTTACCAGAACAAAGATTTTTGTCAGTTATGCTAATTTCTTTGTCGTTCTTTGAATTTAAATCAAGTTATATTTCTCACAGTAATTATGTAACCCCTTAAACTGCAGCCATATTATTCAGTTAGTAATCCTAAAAATCTTTTTAATTTTTGAGTAACTAATTTGAGTAGCAAATTCTTAGTAACTGCTATGAAGCTAGAATTGAATTTATGTAGTTATAATGATGAATTGAAGTGTGGACCCATATACAGGCCCTAATTTAAACCCGTGATAACCCCTAGTATAGTATGTCCCTAATGTTAAATCATTTGAGTTTGTTATCTGTTTGTGCTCGTTGAACATTCTCCAGTGCTCCGTTTAACTTTTAATATGATGGGCATTCTTGGACAAAACAAAAAACACCTGAGTCTGTGACAGCCAAGCAAAATCATGTAAGCAACCTCATGGCGGAACCTGAGTATATCTGACCATGTGCACAGTGACCCCTGCTTACGTTTGGGGAGCCGCTGTGACTCTGGGGGGTTTCAGTCATGAAGCCCAGTACCCTCTGCCCTCCTGGCTGCTGGTGTCTCCATGCACAGGATGTTCCAGAGCACTCTGCTAGGACCCCTGAGCCAGACTGACGGTCCGGATCGCAGGCAGCGCATCCGCAGCCACATCAGGATGGTGATGGAACAGCTGGAGGAAGTTCTGATTGAGCTGAAGGATGTGGCCAGAGAGCTCAGAGAGGTGACACATACACACATGACACACACACATTTCTGGGCTCTCTCAGGTGCTTACAATAGAACGCAGGAGCTTGTTTGGGCTTTATTAGAGGCTGAGGGAGTAGACACGTATAAATACCAGCCCGCAGACAGAAACATCATAAAAACCGCATACCCGACAGGCAGCTTAACAAGGGGTGAGATTTGCACTGACAACACAGCACACATAGTGACGCTTAAAACAAACGAGCTGTCAGTTTTGAGGCCTAATTATCAGCAAGAAAACAATGAGATCGCTCTCTCCACAGCATCAGAAAATCACCTTCTCCTCTCCTTTTCATTTGTCAGGGTCACGTCTGTGTTTTCATTCTGTCCCATCAGATGAGCAGTACTGTTGTTGCATTTCTTTCTGTAATATGGGAAGGGAAAAAAACTCAATTAAACTCTTCCTCTACACTGATATGTATGTCCCGTTATACACTATGGTATCTCATTGCTATATAATTTCACCATAGCATTCTCAGCTATAGGAATACACTACCATATTCCTAGCTATTGGAACCTCCTCCTGGAGTTTAGTTTCAACCTGTATCTAATAAGCGGTCACACTCCCTTATTTAACACTATTAGCAATAGCAGGTATGGCAGACTGTGGTTTAAACTAGGCTCTGCATGAAGGCAGATCCCCAGGACCAGGATTGGTGACCACTACCCAACAGTATTCCTAGCTATAGGAATACACTACAGTATTACAGTATTTCTCACTGAAGGAATACACAATAGAATTTCTAGCTAGAACAATACAATACAGTATTCCCAGCAACAGAAATACACTATAATATTCCTAGCTGTAGGAATACACTATAGTACTGTTAGCAACAAGAATACACTACAGTATTGTAAGCTAGAAGAATACAATACAGTATTCCTAGTTATAGGAATACACCACAGTATTCCTAGCTATAGGAATACACTACAGTATCCCTAGCTGTAGATATATTCATACCTTTAGTAATGCATTACAGTATTTCTGGTTATAGAAACACACTATACCACTGCTAACTGTAGAAATAAACTACAGTATTCTTATCTGTAGGAATACACTGTAATATTCCTAAATATAGAAATGGCTAGTTATAGAAATACCGTATAGTATTCCTAGCTGTATGAATACCCTACAGTTTTTCTAGCTCTAGGAATACACAACATACACTATATAGGAATACAATATAGTATTCTTATCTGTAGGAATACCCTGCAGTATTCTTAGCAACAGAAATGCATTATAATGTTCCTAGCTGTAGGAATGCACTAGAGTATTATTAGCTATAGGAATACACTTCAGTATTCCTAGCTGTAGGAATGATCTCCAGCATTCTGAGCTAAACAATGAACTCCAGTATACTTAATTGTAGCAATACACTACTGTATTCCTGTCTATTCAAGTACCATACAGTATTCCTGTAGGAATGTACATCAGTTTTCCTAGATGTAGGAATACAGTACAGGATTCCTATCTGTAGGAATACACTGAAGTACTCCTAGTAGTCTCTCCTTCATTTCAATCACCCTCATTTCAGTCTCTGATTCAGTATTGATGGGCTAAAATCAGCCATAACTGATACCTCTACCAGCCAAGCCAGATTGATCTGTCTTTTCAATCAAAGTCCTTTTGTTATTGGATTTTATTGATGTTTTCTTTAGGGTTTCTAGCCCCTGCTCAGATTATTATCTCTCAGCTTTCAAACGTAACTGCATATCACCAGAAGCATCTATGAACTAGGCTGTTACATTACCATCACCCATTGAAGTAACTGCTGCAACTCAAGTCTCTAGCAGTTTTCTTTTGCTGGGTTAAGTCTCTGCTTTAGTCAGTTAGTCACCCCCTGCTCCCCTCACCCAGTCCTCCACAACATGTCACATTCACTGTCCTGTCAGCCTGCTATCATCTCCAACCCGTCACTGTGTTAAACAAACTCCCTGTCAGCACAGTGCACAGTGCAGGCCTAGCAGGGTGAGCTGGCAAGAAGGAGACACTGATATACAAGGCGATGATCTATAATGTGACATCTCAAAGCTTTCGCTAATTCCCTGTACTTCAGCAGCATCTTTATGATTTAGACCACATTCAGTTTCAGTGAACTGAGGTCTTTGGAAAAGAATTCCAATAACTCCAATCAGTACCTTGGCTGTTTGTGTGTGTGTGTGTGTGTGTGTGGTTTCTTGTGATGCAGGTGCGCAGCAGGTGGATGATTTGTCCTGTCATATTCTTGTCATTTGTGTCCTCTCTGCTTAACGGAGACTGTTAGGTAGCAGATCTCGCCAGCCAAGTCTGAGCTTGTGTGTGCGTAATGAAACTGCATAATTGTCAACCTCGCTATCATAATCAGCTTGTTCCCTTACTAGGCTGAATGGCACTTTTACACTTTGTAACTTCATCATCTCATAACACTTTTTTGAACATTTGGCAGTGACACAATATTAAATCAGTGGACTCCAAGAACTTGAAATGAGAACGAGCTAAACCAACAGGTCAATGTTTTAATAATCTCTTTTATCTTCAGAGGCCATGAGAGGCAGTTGATGTCAGTCTTGCATTCCACCTGGAAAGGCATTTAAAATTGTGTTTCGCTGATGCTAAGATCATTCATAATATATGGCACACAAGTGGTTTTGAATTGTTGAGCTGTGAAAGACAACCAGGAAGAGAGGCTCTTTTGATGAATGTGTGTGTAGTCCTCCATCAGTGTCTGCATGAATCCGTTCCTCCCACACCTGATTTTGTCTCTGTTGTGTGTGCCAACCTTGAGTTTGCCTTGTGCAAAAAAAGTCCTCCCTTTTGAATGAGCACTGAAAAGAAAATGTATGTGTGAGCATCCATGGTGAGAATTTGTACTGAAAAAGAAAGACAAGAAAAATCTGTAAGTTTTGGCAAAATGCTACACTGCCCAGCTCACCAGCCACTTTATTAGTAACACCACTCTAATACTAAGTAGAATCCTTCTTTGCCCTCAGAACAGTCTGAATTTTCATGGCATGAATTGACCAAGGTTCTAGTAACATTCTTTAATGTTTCTGGTCCATGTTGACATGACTGCATCTAGTAAGTGCTGCTGATTTGTTAGCTGCACGTTCATGCTGTGAGCCTCCTGTTCTACCTTGTTTTTCCCAAAGATGCTCTTGGATTCAGACCTGGTGACTTGGGAGGTTGTTGAAATACACTGAAATAGCCATTGGGTATTGGGTAAAATAGGTAAACTGTGGCAGTTTCTCATCAGCAACAATACTCAGATATGCTGTGGTAGTGAAACAATGATCCACTGGTATTAGGGATCTCAATACGTGCTAAGAAAACATTCCCACAACAACACCAACAGCACCAGCTTGAACTGTAGACAAAAAATAAGATGGGTTAGAGGATTCATATTTGCACATTGCAGCAGAGTTCAAGATTTTTTAGACCAGGTTTTTCAGTCTTCAACTGTCAGTTTGGGTGAGCCTATGCCCACTTTAGTCTCAGATTCCTGACGTGGTCTTTTGCTGTTGTAGCCCATCCACCTAAAGTTTCAACGTGTCATGCATTCAAAGGTGATTTTCTGATCACCGCTGTTGTAAATACTAGTTATTTGAGTTACATCTCTTTATACCTCTCATTTACAAAGTGTCTCTGCTCACAGAAGCCATAATCACTCAATTATTTTTTTTGTTTTTCTGTGTCTAGAGACTCTTGTGTGTGAAAATTCAAGATCAACACTTTCTGAAATTTTCAAATCACACTGTCTGGAACCAACAACAGTTCTACACTCAAAGTCATTTATAACACGTCTTGCCCCATACTGATGTTTGATGCTCTTGATCCATGTCTACATGATTTCATGCATTGTGTGGCTCCATCATGATAAATAGATAAATGAATTGGATGAACTGGACAAAGGTGTACAGACGTTCCTAATAAAGTGGCCAGTGAGTGTATGTTGTTGTATCTAATCAATACTAGACTGATTGGACTTTATGAATTGCCACCATGCTAAAGCTAGCTCAGTTACACAGCACCAATCTGCACCCAATCTGTGCTAACAGTGTGACCTTTCACATAAAATAAATAAAAACACAATAAATATAATTTGAAATTAATAACGTACTCTAAATTTTCATGTTCTGACAAAACTTTTTAATTAAGTTTGATGGAATTTTTCACAGCACAGTGTAACGTTTGTTCAACTTTGCAATAGTTGCTAAAGAAGAACACGTGGGCAGAGCACAGATCTATGGCAGAGCATAGGTCAATTTTAACTCAATTTCCACATTTTTTTTCCACAGGTAGTGACTCAAATTGACAAACTGACAGCTGACATTGATCTGGACACAGAAGACGACCCAGAGGAGGACAAAGTGACCCTGGCTTGCAGCAGTAGCAGCAGTGAGAGAGCACTGGGGGACCTGTTGAAAGCAGAGGCTTTTTCTAATAACCGTGACCTACATCACTTATTATATTACCCTCTCCTAGACACTGCTAAGAGACAAGAAACAGTCCTGCATCGGAGGAGCTGTGGAGACTTACCTGCTCTAAATGGACCCATAAAGGTCCCCTACAGTCCAAAGGCTTCCTGGCTCTTTGGCAGTGGAGAGAAAATCCACTACTGTGATAAAGCATTGTATCATGCACTGTGCTGTGATGATGATGATTTTGATGAAGAGAGTGGAGGCAGGAGATCCTCCAGGTTCTCCTCCAATGACTCTGTTTTCTCTTCTTCTCCGCCACGGCCTCTGAGAGTGGAGGCCTTGACGCCCCGGTCGGCCCGAAAATGTCATCTCAGCCCAGGCTCAAAGAAAAAAGTGCTGCGAAGCTGCAGCACTCAAACAGTTTCAGATAAGAGCACACAAACTCCATTTCCTTACAGTCCTGCCCGGCAAAGAGCTTCAAGTGACCACAAGCACTAAAACACCTCGCAAATGTCCCACTGCTGATATGAGCTTTGACTTTGAACTGTTCAATGTATATTTATCTAGAAAATGTTAATGCTACATCTATCAGAAATACTTAATTGCACATCAACTTCTTGCTAATAAATTCATGCAGTTAGCTATTTTTTCCCTTATTTTTAGTGTTTAAGATGTACTAGTTTTTAAATGATGTTTTTTGGTTGAAAGTATAATATTCCAATTCCCAAGTAATAAATCTACCCTGAAATTTGACATGACTCCACTGCCCCCCTGTAGAGCTGGGATTGGTTTTCGATCACTCCCACACTGTGCAGTAAATAGCTACAGATAAATTAAATGGGAAAAATGATTTGAAATGAAGAGTGATGGCTTATCCGCCATGCTGTCAGAGACGTTAGCCTTGTTATTCCTTACTGTCACAAATGAGGGCAGTCTCCTTTACAATCTCTCGCAAGGCCATGATCAGACTCACGCTCTCAGTAAGTAATTTAATTAGTTTCTCAGTCATAACTCTTTAGCTCAGTCCTGCATAAGAAAGAGACAAACTGGAACTCTCGTGTAGTGTTGTATAATCAAAAGCCATTTCAATTTCTCTGAAAGCAAAGTGATAAGATTCTTAAATTTATTGAAGATTTCTCTCCAACAGGCGCTAATTGACCGCACAAATTAATGGTGGAATATATTTGGCACTGTCCTGTTTTAACAACACTAAATGAATAAAAGAAGAACAAGAAAAGAGTAGCGGTTTTCTAAAAGTGTTGAAGCACAACTAGCATCATCATTATTGTCTATGAACACTTTCTCTATCTTGTCATTTGACACAAACTCACTGTAGGCCTGGTCATGTCATGAATTTTCATAAAAAGATTCAAATAAAAATCTTGCTGTGCAACGGATTCTGTGCATAATAGGAAAACAACTAGAAGAAAAAGAATAAGAATATAAAACCTCTCAAAAACGATACAGACTTAATAAAGCATTATAAAGGTGAATTTGGAAATCTAGTGTTTTACTGTTTTACATTTTGTTTATTAAGCTTATTATTCAAATACCACTAGTTAAAAAATGATTAAACCAAGAAGTCATAACACACCTAGATATTTTAGGTATTAATGAAACATAACTGTCCTAATTCAGGAAAAAAAAGTTTGAAGGAAAGGGTTTGAGAAAGTATACACTGTATACAAGAAAAGTGTTGCAAATGTTAAAAATAATTCAGTCATTCTTTTAAGTTCCATACTTAAAGAGAGCTTCAGAACCTGATAGGGAGAGTTTTAAAAATTATGGTTAACAAACTATGTGGAGCACAACCTTGAACTTGCATAGCTGCATGTAAGTCTAGACTGGGGACTAAATTCAGCCCTGGGCTTTCATTTAGACCTGCCCACTGCAGTCATGGCGAGTCTTTCTTGGTTGAAAACTGGAGTGACTGCTAGTTAGCTAGCTAGGTTATCAGCCAATGTGTAATAGTAACTGTAACATTACCATTAAACTAGCTATCTGTGGCCTTGGTTTACAAGAAGACTGAATGACCTGGCTAACGAAGCTAGTTATTTATCAAAGCCCTGCCGTGAAAAAAACAGCATAGACCAGCATTTTGGTCATCCACAAAATGCATCAACATGGATTTTGGTCATCCACTGAGGATACAGTGGGCTACTAACATGCCTCACTAACAGTATTCACCCAGCACGTGCTGTTTGTCCCGGGTGGTCTCCATTCATTTTATATGGGACAACGTTAGAAACAACAATGTAGCACATGTGCCGAATGCAGTTTCTCTCCTTTTTGCTTTCACAGCAGTTCACACATAAAACAGCCCACGAGGAAACGTCTTGGTCCTTCCATTGGCCAGTCCAACCCTAGTTTATGAATTAAAGGGCAATTCCACCAATTTTCAAAATTTCTGCATAATTAAATCGCTGATATGTAAACAAAGTCACAGAGTGTTTTGATGTAAAATGGTGCATTTTAGACAAATGCATTGACTCAGATTTCTTTACAGTAGTGGTGATAGGAACCAGGGTTGCAATGTCTACAATGCAAATATAGACATTTTATTTAAAAATGTCCTAGGTAAGTTGGTGTGGTGTGACCCTTGCATATATAAATGCATTACTCGTTGGACAAATGTAAAGGAAAAGAAATAAATATCTAGAATTACTCCTTCTAAATGAAATGAGTAAGCTGGAAAGGTTACAAGTGTGAGTTCATCTTTAATAATGAATTTTATAACTGTAACAGCCTTGAACAACACTTTCCATCTGCCACGGTCATAAAACACTTTAACTCTCTTATTAGAATGAGAACTCTTGCAGAATTATGACACTAGTTTTGTTGTGTCTCTTAGTTGTCAGTGGGTTAAATGGTTGTGGACCTATATTTAAACTCTTCTGCTTAGAGCCGTGATCTACATAAACTGTAGAGCCGCTCAGATTAATCATGCTCTGTCAGTGAGCGGTAAACAGGAGGGTCAGTGGTGTATCAGAGCTTGCAGGTGACACTGCTCTGCCGTCTCTGTGTCTCCGTGCAGTAGGAGTGCAGACACCTCATAATCAGATGTTAATGAAGCACTAATGGGCCCGGTGACACCAGACTAAGCTGCTTTGCTAATCTAGCTGAAGGGGGTTAGAGAAGGAGAGGAGAGGAAGCTGGCAAGAGCTACAGTTGATGCGGCAAACAAAAAACGAATTAGAACAAAGTGCGTCTTACCATACCAATTAAACTGCTACAAGTACAATTCTGCTGACACCAACACAAATCGAGCAATCAAAACATGGTGTGCGAAGACAGCCTGCAATTCACAAGGTCATCTCAAAACTGTTGACTCATGAATTTGTTTCCTCTTTACTGAAATATCTGCACTGATCCAGATGAATTCAGTACATTGAGGAGCATCTCAAATCATTGGGTTTTATTACATTTTCTGGTTCTCTATTTAAAAAGGGTGATACTGCATAGAGAGACTCTGCTCTTTGCTTAATGGTGCACATGCAGATTGAGACAGATTAGAACAAAACTTTAATAGACCCTCTCTTTGTCCTTTTACTTTTTCTCCCTGTCTTCTACTTGCATACCTAGCACTCAGTCTCTCAGTGCGTAATTCCTTGTAGGATAGTGCACAATCCAACTTCTTTAGAGTGCTTTATATCCCATTCTCATCAGGCCACTGCAGACGAGGTCTTGAGCCTAATTAATCAAATTAGGGAATCCATTCTACAGCCTCTCCATTAATCAGACAGCACTGTGTGAGCTGCATCTCAAATCGCCACATTCAGGCCAGCTCAATCAGCCTGAACACGAACGCACATGCCCATATCACACATTATCAATAATGTATTTGAATTATGTGGTTTTGTATAACACCTTGTTCTGATAAGTTCTAAGTATTTTAAGTACTTCAAGCCCAGTACCAGCCATGTCATCTGTTACAGAAGCCAAAAATAAAAAAAATGAGCCATTCATTTAAATTCAGTTCAATTCAAGTGTCAATTAAGTGTTTACACCGTAAATTCCGAGGCTTATTGCTTCTTATGGCTTGTTAAGGTGAATTGGCATTAATAACAGTTATTCTTAAAAGGACATTCTGGCCTGAAACTAGCATTTAATATGTTACTCATGATATACAATATTCTGTAGCATAGCACTGCACCCCTCAGCCTCATCAGTTTGACAGAATTAATGATTTTGTATACTTTTTTGTTTTCGTCCATCAATGTTCTCTTGCTACAACACCCAGCATGCCTTATGCAAATATGTCATACAACTATTGCATGTATGTAATAAAGAAACACTGACTACTGGCGAAAAAACTATTTCAGACAGCCTGACCTCAAGTATCCACCCTAAACAACTTAAATTTTCCAGAAGTTTCTCCCATCTTCAAGATGCGTCACCAGCAGGGGGTTAGTCTTCAAACTCAAACATGTGACTCTAGAGATTATTGTTGCACAACTGTAGGAGGTGAGTAGGCATATTTAAAACACATGAAGCAATGGTTACAGTTTTCATTTTGGCCAGAGTGTCCCTTTTAAATTATAGCACTGTGAAATGGAAGCCTCTATCTGTTGGCAATTCCTGGCCATTTAAGAGATTAATGGCATCATATACAGTTTAACGGAATATGTTCAGGTTATTCTCAGGTGCATAAGACAAGGCAAAATAGCATGAGGTTTTTAATCAGTGCAAAATGTTTGCAATTCTCTTTATCACATGGCTACAATGACAGCATGGCTACAATGACAGTAGCAAGTTAGTGCAGGTATATATGAAGATGACCTGTAGAGAGCGTGTGCTGGGGTATAAATGCAATTCATGGTGGTTACATACAGCATTGAGAGTGGACAGATAACACTGCATTCACATAGCTGTTTATATTGCCTTGTACACAGAGTCCAGACCTTAACATCACTGAACGTGTTTGGGATTATGTGAATTGTGAGAAGCAGAAATATGCAACCAACTTCTTAGACTGAACATTGGAGGTATGGAAAAATATCCCTGCAGATGTATTAAAAAAAAAAAACTGAAAGCAAGCTTCCTGAAAAGAAAGAAAGCTGTAATAAAGGCAAAGGGCGGACATTAAATACTGAACAAAAACATCATATTATATCTTGAGGCTTCTGTGTAATCTTCTGGTAAACATATATTTTCTTCTTTTTTCCTGACACTGAAAAATTAATAACATGTACTTAATGGCTATTTTCACTAGAAATAAATTAAATGAAGGGTGTCTCCACAGTACTGTAAATATCAAATAAATATTTCATCTTATAGATTAGATTAGCCTCAGAAGTAAAAAAGTATCAGATCAGGTATTGGTACTGGCCGATACTCAAGGTTTCAGCATTGGTATAGGTATGGAAAAAGAAAAAGTGTTATAGTGCCAGAGTTCTATTACTGGTGTGATTCCGGGGCAGGAGCACACACTCCATTGCCTCCAGCACTTCCGCAAACATGTTGTTAGATACACAGGCAGTGCTTCACTAGGCTTGGCTGAACTGGGTGTCCCTCTATTCAGGGTGAGAAATGTGTGGGCTGTTGCCTCTCCCTGTCATGGCTAGCATGCCCTGCTTCCCCCAGGCTCTGTCAGCCCTGCTCTGCTGAGTGGTGTGCACCGTGGCAACTGGCACTCACTGAAAAGCATATCCAGCCAAGCAACCATCTGTCATTGTGAATAACAGCGTGACAGCACAAATACAGGTCTGCCTGACGAGATATTCCAACTAGTGGAGAGATTATGACAGAGAGAGAGGACTTCTAACTTGTTTAATGAGTGAGATGAGTTAATTAATGTTAATCAAATTATATGTAGGCTTTAAAACACCAAGTGTCTTATATTTAAACTGCTCATCCAACATTACTGCTGAAATCAGGGGTATTAATACGAGGTCTGTCTATAGTAACAGCCTCTTATGGAAGGGCTTTACACTAGATGTTGGCACGTTGCTGTGAGGATTTGATTGCATTCAGCAACAAGAGCATTAGTGATGTCAGCTGCTGATGTTGGATGATTATTCCTTTTCAACTCATCCCAAAGGTATTGAATGGAGCTCTATCGCATGAGACAACCCTTCCAGCCCACGCTTGACATTGGGCATGGTGACCTTAGGCTTGTGTGCTGCTGCTACAGAGCATTCTGTTCTATTGGCATTGCATTTCCGTGGAGATTATATAAACTGTGTCTGTAAATAAATGCGAGTCAGCAATGGGTGAAACTTAAAGCAGCTGAATACACTAATTAGGAGGGATATCTGAGTACTTTTGCACATATATTGTATATTTTATGATAACATATAATGCTACTACATGCAGATTTTTAAGAACCTCCAATGAAATGAAAATGCTCTAGTCTAAGCTACTTTACTTATTTGGAGGATTTACTGCATTCTCATCATAAATTCTTCCTGTTTGCTTTGGCTCACATTGCGCTCACAAACAACATCGCCCTCGTCCGTTCATAAGAGAGCAATGCAGTCTAAGTTTACGCAGCGCGTAAAACTGCATTTCCCAGAAGCCCCGCGAGGTTCACTGCTTTAGTTACGTCGTTACGCACAAACGAAAACAGAAGGATTTTTCCAGTTTGCTTCTAAGCTTTGATGAGGCGGGTGCTTGTGTCGTTTTGAAGGTTTAAATGCATCAATTACTGGATATGATTTGTTGTTTATTCTAAAGGCAGTAGATTCATAACACCTTCACTCGTCACTCAAAGCCGTGTTGTCAGAGCATCTAGTCTCGGCCAGCCAGCCTGCCAAAAGCGCATGTTCATCCAGGAGTAGCGGTAGGTCCTTGACTGGGCTAACTTACTGGAGTCCGAAATGGCTGTTCCTGAGTGGCGTTTGTCGCTGAAGCTGATAGACCAGCCTTCTCTTTCAAAATCTGTGCTCCAGTTTCCGGACACTGAGCCTGGAGACGTCCCACCTGGCGAGTATCGGGTAGCCACTCTCAAGCAGCTTGTTTCAGCGCAGTTACCAGACGCTATTCCGGACCCCGAGCTTATAGGTGGGTTCATGATTGTAATGTTCGGTGCCTTTTCATCACAGCTTTGAAATACCCATCCTGTTAGTCTGACCCACTCTTCCCTTATGATGCAGAGGCCTAACGGTGTTATGTTTCACAGAGCTGGTGTACTGTGGCAGAAAGCTGAGGGATGAACTCACTTTAGACTCTTACGGGATCCAGTCAGGATCTACTGTACACATCCTGAGGAAGTCATGGCCAGAGCCTGAGATCCAGCCTGGTAGGCACCTGCTGATCCAGAGTTGTACTAAAGTGCCCGTCCCCAAGCCTCCTCCTGGAGATCTATTTTCTTGTGAAGTTTAGTTCCATTTGGCACCTCCTGCTCCTCCTAACAGCCACTCAAGAACTTCTGGAACCTGAGTTAATAATGTGGTAGATTGGGGCTGGAATTAGATTCTGCTGGAAGGTAGATCTCCAGGACCTGGGCTGGTGCCCATTGCATTAAAGAAAAAAGGCAAATCGCAAATCACAAATGCCATAACAAATTGTGCTGTCTGTTTTTTCAGAGCCGGTTGACAGGGTAACAGCTGCGAGGGAATTTCGAGTCTTGCAGGCAGCTCTTCATACCAGCACAGCCTACAGAGACTCGGTAGGGTCAATAATAGGGTCAGATCTTGTATGTGGGGGATCCAGAGGTCTTTAAGTTGATTTGTTTGTTTTTATTTTTCAACCTAGGTTTTCAAGATGCTGAACAACAAAGAGTCTTTGGATCAAATCATTGTGGCAACGCCTGGTCTAAGTAGTGATCCAATGGCCCTAGGTATGCTACTCATTTCTTAATAATAAGGGGAATTCCACCATATTTTTAGATGATCAAGATGTAAATAAAGTCATTCTTTGACTCTTTGTGTTTTGATGTGAAATGCATTATGCTAGAGAGCTGTTCACAGTACTGGTGGTAGTTTACTCCTTCTAAAAGCTCCCTCACAGACGGTTATTGCATGAAATGGGTATGGATTCACTGCCTGATGACTGAGACATTTTTTATGATATAAAAATTTGGTTAAGATAAAAAATTGATCATTTTTTAATGTATCATCACTATCTGATAATTATTTATTTTTTTGTTTATCATCTGTACACAGCAATTTGTACACCTTTACATCATGTGAAAATTTCATGATAAATGGAACGCTAGAAATTCTCCAAAATTGCTTGGAATCCAAAAAAAGCTTTCTTATATTAATTTACATTAAAAGTAAACAACTGTCCATCTTCTTCTGTAAAGCAGCATGGACAATTGTATTCTGAGAGGTACGTGCAGCGCATTCTAAGGCAAAATAGCCTTTTTAGATTTTTTTTTTTTCAGATTTACCGCAATTTTACCATTATCAACATTACATGTAAAAACGCAGGAGACTTGTGTAGGTTCGATGTTCATTTTGGATGGTAAATAAGACTTCTGTATTGCGCTGTAGACATTGTAGGTACAGGTTTCCTGGTTCCTATAACCACTATTGTAAAGTAATCATAGTTGGCAAGTTTCTCAAGTGAACCATTTCATATCAAACCACTCTGAGTGACCTTTTATTTACATCTCAATGACTGAAGTGTCTATAAATTTAAAAAAAAATCTAGTGAAATTCCCCTAAACTTTGTTAGCACTTTTGAGAAACTGTGCTACATTAGTTGTACGTTTTGTACTTTATTGTGACATAAAAAATCTAGGGTGAGTTTTTTAAATTATATATTTATTGCTATGACATCTTAACTCTTGCAAAGAATGTTCAGAGTGATACATATACGGATCCAGTGGTGATCCTAGTGCTGTAACATTAATGCAAACCTGGGGCTTGACTTACATACATGATGTTTTTTAGGTGTGCTTCAAGACAAAGAACTCTTTGTGCAATTCACAGATCCTAACATGCTAGACACGTGAGTAGATCAAACGCCTACCTAAACAATTCCCCAGCTTATTTCCTTCTCACAGTGTGCAAAGAAAGAGTCAACCCCCAGTGCTCTGTTCTGAAGAACTACACACCAGTTTTGGAAATGCTTCAGATGAATTGGTTTTACTTCCCCATGTCTTTTGTTTCCACTAGGCTTATTAACTCTCACCCAGCACTGGTTAATGCCATTATTCTGGTGCTGCATTCTGTAGCTGGCAGTGTGCCCACACAGCAGAGTGCCAACTCTTCCAGAAATGTGTCCTCCAGCTCCTACAGTGACATGCCAGGTAAAATGTTTCACATTTAATCCGTTTAATTGCAGTTATGATGTACTATTACAGTACTGTTATGGAATTTATCAGTTCACAGAAACAAATTACTGTAGGTTTGTGGGTTTATAATTCACACAGGCTTATAATTACAATTCCACAGTCATACACTGTTATCAGAGAGATGCTTCTTTCTATTGCAGGAGGTTTTCTCTTTGAAGGCATGTCTGACGATGAGGAAGAATTCCAGTCGGTTAGTCATTACAGTCTATGCTCTTTTGAAAACATATTCATCATGCAGAATCTGCACTGTTAACTGTTAACTGCTCTGATGTGTAATAGGGGAATCGCGGTGGGCCATCTTCCAGTTCTACAGGCTCTTCAGGCTTGAGACCTGCTACATTAGGCTACAGTGGGGCAGTAGGACCCAGACCAATCACTCAGAGTGAACTGGCTACAGCCCTGGCTCTCGCCAGCACTCCCGAAAGTAGTGCTGTTACACCTACCATAGGAAACCAGGTACTCAGTTATTAACATGTTATGCCAGCCTTTGCAGCAGATGTAATGTTCTTCTAATTCTACTTATAAAACATTAAATTTTGATGGACAACCTAATGCAGATTTAATCTAAATATTATTTAAAAGTGTTTTGGCTTTTTAATCGAGCACTTTGGACATGAGCAATCAATGAAGTTAAAGAGCTGACTGTCAGCTGTCATTTAAATATACATTAATCCATGTTGGATGACAGAATAAGAAATTATAGTATATATCATTCATATTTATCCTATTCTGCAGTTGTTTTGGGCTTTGAGCTCTTGCGGCAAATGCAGCAGACACTTTTGAAGTATTTATTTATTTATACACTTGCTGTTAGTGCCTGGCAGCATGGGAACCAAAACAAATTCTTTGGAAGTTAAGCAGGCCAACATATGGCTGACTAGAAGAAATCAGTCCAAGAAGATGTATGAAATGCCCCATCTTACTTATTTCTGCTTTTATTTTACGTCAGAGGTTTAGAATGTGTGCATTCTAATTTGTGTTTCTATGTCCCTGTTAGGGTGCTTCTTCGGGGGTTTCCCCTGTCCCTGCAGGAACTCCTATAACAAATGACCTCTTTAACCAGGCCTTGCAGCAAGCCTTACAGGTGTCTAGCATATCCTCCCTTCAAGTAAGTAAGCACCCGCTGACCATCATCATTTTCATAATGCGCAGAGACTGTTTTATTAAAAGCTTTTGTCTTTATTCCAGAGGCAAAACTGTAATAATCCATCATTAACAACTATGTGTATTACTGATATGACCGATTCGTATTGTGTTAAGACTAAAAAACCTAATATGAGGGATGTGAATTATTGTTATGTGTACCATCAGGACAAGGCTTCTGTAGCTGATCTGTCTGCATGTTTATTTTCAGAGTCAGTGGCAATCTCAGCTTCAGCAGCTTCGTGATATGGGGATCCAGAATGAGGAGCTAATCTTGCGAGCCCTGCAGGCCACTGGGGGAGACATCCAAGCTGCCCTGGAGCTAATTTTTGCTGGGGGAGCCCCATAAGTCTCTCTGGGTCACACCCACTAGAAAGTATAATCACTGATTCTCCATTGAAACAACTTTATGCTGGATATTTGAAGCAATTACTGGATATTTGGACAGTTATTCCATGTTGAATTTTTCTGTCTTCAAAATACAAGCTACTTGCACTTTTCCCTGAAATGCTAACATAGATGTTTTATTTATTTTAATATCACAGATGATGTGAACATATTATGTCTTCTTAATTATGGCAAATGATCCTCTGATGTTGGCGTTTGTGATGCTTCCCTTCTGTGTATTCTACCTGCAGTACCATCTTAGAGTACATTGATTCTGTTTGAAGTTGTGAGCCTCAAGCACTCAAGATTGTGTTTTAATGCAGCAGAATCAATTATAGATATGGAGTGTAGAATGTTGGTGTCTGTACACTACACACTTGTCACTGGGCTTAAAACTCAATACAGGAGATTAATTAACCTACATGGTTTGGTTTTTCATTTGTTTCTATTGTGGCTTCATTCTTCTGTGGACAAAGGATATATATTGTAGCTTTAAGCAAACACAGCTACACAAATAAGCCTGAAATAGACTGAAATAAAGAAGCAGAGGTTAAAACTACTCAGGGTTGAGGATTTTAGTTGAGGACAAATCTAAATATTTAAGTCTATTTGAAGTTAACACCTTAAAAAGGTTCCAAGTACGGTTGTTTCCATTACATATACGCTAATATTGAACTGTTAGTTTAGTTTCAAGTGTAAAAATATTATTTACAATGAAAATAAACTGACTGATTTCCTAAATTTATAATTACTAAAATGCGCCAGGAACAAAATCATTGACGTTATGCGGCATCGTCACTCAGCAGTGGTGGAGTACACAAGGCTGCCATGTTGGAAGAAAATCCTCATTTTTACGAGCACTACGGGCACTGTGAGTCATTGTGAGGAGCCGGTTCTTTTGGGTCCGATCACAAAAAGGAACCATTTCTGTGGATCTAAGTCGGCTATTATTATTATAGCTTAGCTTTTTATTATTATTGTAGAGAATATGCCTAAAGGTTTCATGTTTCCCTACACCATTTCCCCCAGCATCCCACACAGTTCATTTAATCCATTAAAGCAATAATAGACACAAAGATAAATTGACTCAAAATGACTCAAAATTCAAAAATTTAAGGTGGAGATTAAATGTCAGCGTTTTCCATGTTGGGCGTGTGGGTTGCCAGATGACGGTGACCTGGCAAAATGTGTAACGGCAGCACTGGCCACAACTGTCTTGCGTTGGTTGCAGTTGTTGCCCCGGTATTGGAAAAATGATAAGATGCTGTGTGAGAGACGTATGTATACGATGTATACATCTAACGTCGGGCAAAATGCGCAATATTAAATTTAGGCTATTTCACCGCCTATTTTAGACTGTTGCCAGGTGACTGTGAATTCGCAGTAATTGTGTATGCGTATCTGGCAACCCAATATGGAACTCGATGAAATTGAATCCCTTCCTCAAACATTTTCAAGTATACGGCATTCCAGCCTCACTATCTCCATGGACTGGTGGCTCTTCGTTAAAGTATGTCCACAGGTGGCGTCCTTGACCATAACCAGCCTGCTTTCTTATTGAATATGCCGAACGGTTTACCCATTAACTGCACTTAACAAACTTTGCAGATAAGGGTTTTTAACGAAGAAAATCTGAACTTTGCTTGGAGTACCGCGATGAGGGACAACACCTGGGCCATGTTCACTCCAGTGCTCCGCTTTAACGTTCGTGTGATTAAGCTGAGTTTGTCTGAATTGCTTGTTTGTTTTCATCCGTAGAAAATGGCCGGTGAGAGACCCTGTCCTTTACTCTCTGTTCATCCGTCTCGCTGCCTGGTGGATGAGAAGTTCGAGGTGCTCTGTCAGCATTTACTGCCCGCTCTGCAGGTCACTCTGCACGCGCTTCTGCACTCAGATGAGGGAGACTACTGGGAGGCGTTTGGCCATTACCTTAGTGATGCGGCCGGCTCTGTCAGAGGTAGCTGTTTAACTGTCTGTCTGGTTGACAGAGGTGGGTGGAGGGGCTTCCACCTCTGCTTCTGCGAAATACTGACTTAAGTATGTACCTTTCCAAAAAAAAAAGGAAAAAGTATCAGGTCAAAAAGTACAGAGTAAGTTTTATCTAAACACCTGCAGAGAAAATTAGAGCATATATCAACATAGGACCTCGAGTTGGTTTGGCTCCAGTCTTATGTTTTTGATGCACTTGGTCTAAAAAATTGATGAATTGAATTTAGTTCCTAATTCCTCATTTTTCTGTTTATTTTCATTCTGGTATGTTGGAAACAGCATATTTTGAGCCCTTGAGCTGTATCATCTTTATTTTGGACAGAGAGTGCATAAAAAGAGAAAAAAAAAGTCCAGTAAACCTCACTCATGCTGATAGATGCTAGATTTAATAAAGTTACACTGCAGTTCTGTAGGTTACTCAGTTCCTGCCTAGTTTTGTGATCTGGTATCTTTGTGTTTCTACTTAATGTGTTTTTTTTCTGTTGTTGCTGTTGAAAAGTACTCCTTTTCTGGACTCTTAATTTTGTCAAAGTAACAATACTTTTATTTGAGTGTGGGTTTAGGCCAGTCTGCCTACCTGAATGTTATGTAAGGGAATAAGCACAAAAGTTTATTAAGTAAAACATAGACTTCCTTTCCTCTCAGATATGCTTGAATATGTGTAAATGAGAAAATGTGACTAGTTGGTAGTTGGTTGAAATACTTTCCTCACTTTATCACTGTTAGTGTTCAACATGCAAGCTCTAACTGAGTATTCACTCTGTCTCAGTTTCTGAAGATGCCAGTCTTGGTGGGTCGTACAGCGGTGTGGAGCCCATTGCAGTGTGGAGCCCATTGTCTTAACCATTTGACAAAATACATTTGGTTGTGGCAGTTGGACTATTGGCACCACTGTTGTACTCAACAATTAGTCAAATGAGATCAGCCAGGAACCAGTCTTTCCACACATGACAGGCATTATTAATTGGATGTTTTGCCTATTGTTGCCAGTGTAACAAATCCTCATTTGTCTTCAAAGTAGTAACTTTGAAGGAGAAAGAAAAACTGTAATGTAGTTCTGTAAGTAACTCAGTTCCTGCATAGTTTTGTGATCTGGTATCTTTGTTTTTCTACTTAATGTGTTTTTTTTTGTTTGTTGAAAAGTACTCTTTTCTGGACTCTTAATTTTGTCAAAGTAACAATACTTTTATTTGAGTGTGGGTTTAGGCCAGTCTGTCCACCTGAATGTTATGTAAGGGAATAAGCACAAAAGTTTATTAAATAAAACATAGACTTCTTTTCCTCTCAGATATGCTTGCGTTCATGTAAATGAGAAAATGAAATACTTTCCTCACTTTATCACTGTCAGTGTTCAACATGCAAGCTCTAACTGAGTATTCACTCTGTCTCAGTTTCTGAAGATGCCAGTCTTGGTGGGTCATACAGCGGTGTGGAGCCCATGGGCCTGCTGTGGAGCATGAGACCAATTCCTGGAAGCAAGCCAGGCCTCAGGTTAACTTTAGCAGTCTTTAGGGCAGGGGTGTCTAGTCTTATCCTCAAAGGGCCAGTATGGCTGCAGGTTTTCAGTTCAGCAAAACAGGAGAAAACATGATTAATTGTTTGAAGAATGAGACCAGCTGAATCCTGCTTGTTTGGAATGAAAATCTTGATGGGACACCCCTGTTTTTGGACTCCTGTACTGCTTAAAGGGTGATCATGCATGCAAACGCTATTTAAATTTTTTTAAAATGTATTTTCTTTTGAAAGATTGCGCAAGAAGGATGTCTTCAAGCCCACTGATGTGTACATATCTCTGTATGAAGGCCACCTAAATGAGGGGTTCAAGGATAAACGTCCTCTTGCCTCTGTTGTGGCACAGCGATGGTACACGGCTCCTGGAGTCCAGAGGGTAGAAGTCAGAGAGAAAGGGTTAAAGGGAACCCTTTTCATACCCCCAGGTATCACTGACAGGTGGTTAGGTAGATGTTGAAAGTATATATCTGTAGTTCTTAGACAGTCCTATAGTACTACAGTTCTCGGTGAGATACTAGTTTACATAGTTATAGCGATATTTTACATTTTTATTGCTGTTTATCTAGGAAGCTTTAACAATTATCTTATCTCTAAACAGCATATCAGAAAAATGTGTTGAGATTGGTTTTACTAGTTGATAAGTACAACAGCCAGTAACATGGGTGATGTGAAAAGAAGTAGTTTGTTTCTGGATGAATGTTCTTTCTAGGTCCTGGCCCTTTCCCTGCTCTGTTGGACCTGTGGGGTGGAGGAGGAGGCCTGGTGGAGTTTCGCTCTGCTCTCCTGGCCTCACGAGGCTACGTCTCGTTATCTTTGCAGTACATAGGCCTTATGGGTGCTGATGGCAAGCCACACAATGTGGGCAGTGACTACTTTGAGGTATTGGTCTTTTAAATGATGACATGTAGGTACTGTAATTGTACAAAAAGAGATACAAGGTTATGCACTGCTGCATTGTGTTGTCTCTTATCTCTCCCAGGCTGCCTTCAGTCTGCTGAAGCAACACCCACAGGTGTGTCCTGACAGAGTGGCCATGATGGGTTTGTCCTTTGGTGTCTCTGTGACCCTGGGCATGGCAGCATATTCCTCCGTGATAAAGGTTGACCAGCTTAAGCTCTTTTCACATTTATCTTTATTATAGCTTTGTAAACACTTTGGTAATCTTCGCCCTTGTTCTCAAAGCCCATCCTTTATTGAGGGAATTGCTCATTTGTCAGAAGACTATCTGTGTATCTTAGTGATTTTGTCAGTGTGTGTTTTAAAGCTGGTGTATCATCATCTACTATAAAACTACACACGTTTGTTCTTATGAGGTTCCTTCCTTTTAGTGCCGAGTATAGATATTTAATGTCTCTAAATGTTGTTGCCGTAAATGGCATATAGCATGACAACCTATTAACCAGATTTTTTTTTAAACTTTTACACTCTTTTTCAGCCAAAGTGTGTAGTCTGTGTTAGTGGAAGCCATGTTATGCCTGTCAACGGATCTTTGGCTGATGTCTTTGATGAGATCAAAAAGTAAGTGACATTACTGACTTTGCATGAAGGCTGAGTGATTAGTATGTGTACGTTCAAGAAAAGCTACACTGGCCATTTCTTTATATACGCTTTCTGAGTGGTTGATTCAAATCTAATCACTTGTTTTAACCATTTGACAAAATACATTTGTGGCAGTTGGACTATTGGCACCACTGTTGTACTCAACATTTAGTCAAATGAGATCAGCCAGGAACCAGTCTTTCCACACATGACAGGCATTAATTGGATGTTTTGCCTATTGTTGCCAGTGTAACAAATTCTCATTTGTCTTCAAAGTAGTAACTTTGAAAGAGAAAGAAAAACTGTAATGTATTAACTGTAATGTGTGTATATAAATATAATGAGATTTTGTTCATTAGATCATTTCTAATGGTCCATTCCTCACAAAATTTAATTGACATCTGGTATTTTGTGAATGGTGTTAAAAATTAAAAAAGCCAAAAAAGGAGTTATGAGGAGTTTTGATATGACAAAGACTAAATATTACATAATGAGCTAAGAGAGCCTGAACTTGTGGTGCAACATACCTGCTTCTTTTTGGTGTTTACTGGTACGTCTCTGCATTATTTTAATTGCTTTTACATTATAATATTAAACAGTGTGCTCATTTTTAATAATGTACATTTTACATAGAGATTTTTACTTAGAGATTACCAGTTTTCACACATTTACAAATGGTCACCATTAATAAAAAAACTACTACTTTTGATTGTCTCACGTGAGTGCCAAATAATTATTTCATTTTTTAAACCAAAACCTGACCAGTTTATGGTACTTAAACATGTTTGTTAATTTAATTCAATACAATGTATATACAGTAAACATCTTTGTATAATTCTGGCCAGACATTCTTAATTTTGGTCTCAAGACTCATTAGCTTGGTGGCCTGAGTGGCCGGTACAGATTTATTGATCTTTCTAGCCCAGCATGCAAGATCGGTTGGGTTTGTATATTCTTTCTGTTTTTAATTTCTGTTTTGATTGCAAATTTTTCTTGCATTCTTTTGATTTTAAGGAATGTCAAGAACACCCGTTATGATGAAGAGCAGAGAATCATTTGGCGAGATCTGCTGCTGCCGATACCAGACGACCCTTCAAAGAAAGTTGAAGTGAGGATTCCCGGAAGAGTCTCTGCCACATTCTATTGATCATCATTTTATACATTTTCTGATGTTCAGCAGTTCAGGATGCACACAGTTATGCAATCTCTGTTTGTGTAACTCTGTTTTGACCAGATGGGTCGCATCAAATGCCCTGTTTTATTGATTGTTGGCGAGGATGATCAAAACTGGCCGGCATCAGAGTCTGCAGAGGATGTAAGAAGATGCACTAGTGTCATTTCCTGATCTGTCTTTTACTGATTAATATGTTAATTTATCGTTATGACCTCTTTAAAGTAATTGACATTTGCATGAACTGGAATGTCACACTCACAGTCCTGGAGACCATACCATTGCTGTTTTAATGATTTCTGCTATTCAGCTCAATAATTCATAATAAGATGAAACATTAAGGCTAATCTGTTAATCTAGAGAAAATGTGCAGTGTTGTTATGGAGTACAAACCAGGGTTAAAAAACCAGTGCCTCTTTCTTCCACTCCTAGATGAAGCAGATGATGGAGCAAGCTGGGAATAGTCACCTGTTGACCATTCTCTCCTACCCCGAAACCGGCCACCTCATCGAGCCACCCTACAGTCCTCATTTCAGGGCCAGCAACTTCATGTTGTCAGAGACAAGGAATAAAGGTAAACCTTCAGTTTGAATATGTATTGAGGTTTGAGTAGTAAAGATCCTGATCAGTTTCAAGTTTTTCAAGTAGACCAATCAGTTGAGAAAACTCTGTGTATGGGCACTATGCTATTTCAAGTGCAGCTTCCTGGAGTGCAACAATTTTTAGATGATTTAGTTCAGCCCTTTTTACTTATTTTAAATAGATCCGTCTGTATAGATCTGGCACACCAGCCATCATCCCCTGTACTATTCACTGCACGTGTATTCTGAATTTAGATTTGATGGATGTTGTGGTTTTTGTTGCAGTGGTCGTGCTGTGGGGAGGACACACTGTGCCTCACAGTCGAGCTCAGGAAGACTCCTGGCACAAAACCCTGGCCTTTCTGGAGCAGCATCTCTACAGCAGTGCCACAGTGGCACCCGGGTCCAACCACTGAGAGCAAATATGTTGTGAATCTCACTTTTGAAATTCACGGGTGAAAAGTCTTCATCAGTTTCACTGTCACAGTTTTGTCTAACAACCATTGTGCCTTATATCATCTGCATTCCAGGTTTAAAATATTAACCAAATATTAGTTTGACAGTCTAATTATGCCTAAAATATTATGTAAAATGAAAAAAAGAAAGGAATCAACAGAATATGGTGTATTCTTCAAATTTACATGCACATGTGAATGCTTATAGTTTTGAAAAAAGGCAATGATTAAATGATGCACATAAAACAAATGAATATGCACAATATTGTTAATGACTTTTTAGAATCAACAATATTTCTTAATGATATAAGCAACAAATGCTGACCTTAACAATTATTTGATAGAGGAAATACAATTTCACCTTTAATAAACTGACTCAGTTTAATCTTACTTGTCTGTTTACTTTGGAGCAATATCTGAAAACGTGACTTAATATCCTGAGGCATTCTTGATTTGCAGCCACTGACACAGTGTACATGTGTGGTGAACAAGTGCTGTAGAAGGAGCTGATCTTTGTCCACCTCAAGGCAAGTGTAGCACTGCTCCAGAAAAGGCTGCAAGAATGTCACTCCATATTTTTCTAGCAAAAATAGGGCACTCGAGAAGGTGGTAAAGAAAAGCAGTTATGTACATTTCTTTGCTAAATGTAATGATAGTAGAATATTATAACACGCATTATATACCACAAATGTCATGTATGTATATCATGAACTGAGCTCCTGAATGGAAATTCAGTTAGTAGCATTCTGAAGTTGAGTAGTAGGGATGTGTAGGCTATATGATGTTAGCTTTGGCCATTTAATTTAACAGAATCAATGATTTTCAAGTCATTCCAAAAGAAGATGACCTTCTGACCTCAGGTGAGCATTAGTAGTAGGATGGTGTAACACTGAGAGTGCAGATATGCTAGATGCACTAGCAACACATGACCTAAAAACAAATAGATGAAACAACAGTTTGTCACTTGCCAAAAAAAAGAAAAAAGCAAGTATCTCCAAAATGCTAGTTTTGCCAAATGAGACAAAACTATTCTTTACTTTTTATGTAAGTTAATCTAAAGAGATTTTATTCCAAGCATTTCTTTTGCCCATTAATCATGAAATGTCCACAAAATGTAAAGGACGGCTGCTGTGCTCAAATGATACAGAAAAATAAAAAGCAGAAAAAATTGAGATCCTTTATTTTCACAGCGTCAAAATACAATGACAGTGAAATTAATCAGAACTGAGCACAAAAGTCCAAAGAGAAGATGAAAATCTGGGCAAGAAATTAGACATTTGACATTCATTGCAAGAATTAAGACATTAACCACATTCGTGAAATTTTATCTGATAATTACTTTCCAAAAATCAAGTTGCGATTAACAATACAAATAGTCTTTTTTTGCTCATCCACACAATGGAAAAAAACAGCCCTACAATTGTACTTATTTCTGCTAATGCCCAGATGGGATTCTAGTAGTTTGTTGGCACTAATCTAAGAACAATTCAAATGAACATTTTTTGGTCATTATAGAGCTTGAAGCTCAGGAGACAATAGGAAGGTTTTACCCTGTTGCAGTTTTGCTGTGAAAGCAGTAAGACCTGGTACAGATAACACCCCCTTGTTTAGGCTGCTGTTCATATTCAGTCAGTGACATATCTTGGACCTCAAGGTCTAGAGCAGGGGTGTCAAACTCAACTACTAAAAGGGCCAAATTAAAAAATCTCAGCAGATCCGTGGGCCAGCTGTGTTTTTATTTCATTTTTACTTAACGTTTTGCCATGACCTAAACAGGCCATTGTTTATTCCAAATATGCCAAAACTGCAACAGCAAAATGGACATTGGATACAAAAATAATTCTAAATAAAAATCAATTGTTTTAGGTAGTTTTTTTTAACTGCCTATTTGCGTAAACTAGACACCAGGCATCTTTTCTTTTTGTGTAACCACTGGTCCATAGATTGTTGTTGTGGGTCAGAATGCACACTGTGTTGCAATGGATGTTGGGGTGTTGGCTGATTAGCTTTTTCGCTTCCTGGCTGTCAATACAATCCCAAATGAAGATAGAAACAGCTAAAGCATAAATAAACGAAATTTCTCATCGCTGCCATCTTAACATGTTACGACACCAGTCGGAAGTTAAAACTTTGGATATTTCGGAAACTAAATTCACGTTCTGTTTGTTAAATAAATATATGATTGTGAAAGCCATCAACTGTGCAAATTAATTGTAGTCTAGCGGAAATGTAATAATTGTGACAGGCCTAGTTAAATGATCATGCTTGTGGCCCAAGGTTGATAGAATCACTCAAACGTAGCTTCTCATTACTGAGGATGTGCTGCTGCCTCTGCCTGTAACAGATACTGTAAAGGAACTGCCTTGAAAGATGGTCTCTTTACTTCAAGATGTATTTTGCAAGCAGTGATCACAGAATTGGGTGCCTGTGCACTGAGAGTTTTATGTATTTAACAATAGATTATCTGGCAGCACTCCATCTCTCTGAGCTCTCAGTGTCACAGAGTTCTGTTGTATAGTAAAGTCCCCTAGCAGGTCTTGTGGTTGAATTTCTCAAACAGCTGACGAGCATCCGCATACGTTTAATAAATGCATAACATATGCCACACAAGCCATATACGTAAATACACATTTTAATATTTCCATGTTGACTGACGTCTCCTGCCTGTGCAGGCTGCTGACTCACTCGTTGTAGCAGCGCTGGTTGATTTAACAGTTCTTCTTCTGAAAATGTTCTTTTCTAGTTTGGTAATGCACAGTTCCACACATTAACTGAAATCTTACACATCTACTCTTTTGTCTTCGGTTTAAAAATCTTGCTCATTTATTTCACTGTTCATTTTACATTGTGAAAGAAGAATGTCTGTGCACACTTCGGGTCATGGTCCATTTTGCAGAAGCCTTGGCAGTTTTCCTCACTTTAAACGAAGCAAAACATTTTAGACTTCATTCATATATTTGTTTCATTTCAACAGTATGTTTCATACGTTTAGAGTTTCTTTAGAGAACGACAAACAGATGGTAACAACATAGAGGAGAATCTTATTTACACTTTAAATAACAGGACAGTATATCATGTACCAGCTAGTTCAGCATCTACATGGTAGTCTCACAAGACTGACCTCTGAGGTTGAGACTACATAGTCTACATAGTAGCATTTCAGAGTTCAGGTTTCAGAGTTAATTTCTGTGGTGTTTTTGCCACAGTGTACTGATGAGGTCTAGCTGTCTGTAGTTTAATGATTTTAGCATGCTCCTGTTCATAGGAAGCATAATGTCTCCACACTTCCAGACTGGTGGCCCTTTTGCGTGATGGTGAGAGTGGAAATTGACAATTACTACACTGGCAAAAAAAATCATCAGAAAATTAATAAACAGTACAACCAATATGGTTTTATTCTTGATATTAACTGTCTGTGTCTGCAGCGCTGGTGATAAATGACTCCTTTTGTGTGTTTGTTTTAAAAAGACCTCTGAGCGCTCAGCACAGAGCGATAGATACTCATTTTCTGTTCTAGGACTTGTGAAGCCTAAAGACCTTTACACACCCAACATGATTTATTTGTGCAGTATTTTTAGATGAAAGTAAATTAAATCAGTCACTTGTATAACTGATAATATCCTGCACATCAAAGGTGATTTTATGAATGTTTAAAATGAGACATTATTTTATTTGTGCACTGTTTGATATTTGTGAACTTTCACTGGTAACAGGGTTTGTTTCTCCTCTGCTTCCTCGCAGGAGATCTTAGCAACTCCAATATCAGCTCAAATAGGTCTCAAACAGAATTACAGACATCCAAGTCCAGCTTCTGAATGAATAAATGAAACTCTCCACGCTCCTTTCACCTCAGAATCTTTGCTTTTGACTTACCCTGTTTATAAGAATTTATCCAGCAGGAAAAAGGAAATGTTTTACTTTGACAATGTGTCTACACATTGTTAAAAAAATGAAAAATGACTGCAGTACCCTAGCAGTACCAAGTGGCTCACTTGTTGAAAACCACTGCTCTAAAATAGATAAAGATAAAAAAAAAGTTAAAGCAAATTTTCACAATATAATTCCTTAAATATGTTGTCATCCCAAGCACTGTTAACAAGTCTTGAATTGCATGGAATGACTTTTTTAGTTTTAATGTTATGTACATATAGAGAAACTGTATTGCAACTATGCATTCAAACAATTAATACTATTATTACTAATAACAATATATTGTATTTATAACTGCTTTTATACATTAAAGTTCAGACCAGAGAGCTTTATAAATAATGAAGCAAATTAAAATCAGCAAAGGACAACAGAAAATAGAGAAATAAAAACTTACAAAGCTTAAAAATGCAATAAAACTTTTTTACTAATTTAAACTTTTTTTTTTTTAATTTTTATAGAAATTTAAAAATAAGAAAGAATAGTGTTTTATAGTTTTTTAACCTGCTTTTTAAAATTGATTGCAGGAAATACTTGACAAATGTCTTGTGGGATGAAATTCCACGGTTTGGGAGCGTATACTCTAAAAGCAGCCTCGCCACTTCTTTTGTGTTTTGTTCTCAGGGCAGAAAGTAATCCTATCTCAACCATTTTGTAAGCTTTGCAGTCCACTTTGATCCTCCATTTACATCAACCACCAAAAATTCTGCACACACATATATTGAGAGGCTGAAGTAGTAGTACTGAGCAGCTCTGATAGATAAATGAACTAAGCATTAGTGTGCTCTCCTGCTTGTTAACTACTACTACCACTGTAAAAAAGAGGCTGGAGGGTGCAGGTTCCCGTCCCTCAGTGAATCTTCCCTCGCCATCTCCATCCTTTCTCCCACTCTTTGTGCCTTACACTCCACCGTGACAATCATAAATCAGCTGTCTGTGCAACATAATCCTTTTTACCACAGAGCCCTGCGGCTCCTCTCCCTCCTCTCTCACTCACGCTCATGCTCATCTACTCTCGGGTATTCAGGTGTGTCTTTACATGCTTCACCTTTCACAGTAGTTGCTCCACAATCCATTGCTGCCCTACACACTGGGGAGGGAGACTTCACTAGGCAGTGAAATATTGCTAGAACTTTTGCTGCACGGAAATCTTCACTCCAGTCCTGAACAGGAACATCACTAGAATGTAAGTGACAATTATAGAAGTTTTACTCTTAAGATATCATACATACATTCTTGTCTAATGCTTATAATAATGCTTATAATTGCCTCTGCACACCATTATCAGACAGATATATATATATAGATATATATATCAGTTACCTGAAATGTAATGCTCTATACATATTTACCATACATTATTCTCTGTGTTTTCCTTATTTTGTGGGCAGTCATCTCTCCGAGTTGTTGTAGAACCTGAGAGTTCACTGGTAAACTCTTACAGCTGCTTCTGTTGATTGTAT